CCACACACTGCACAACAGACTGCTACCAAATTAGAGGAGCTTCAATTGGAATGTTTGAGACGTCCACCGTACTCCTCGGACCTTGCTCCAACAGATTACCATTTTTTTTCAAAATTTGGATAACTTCTTGCAAGGAAAAAAAAATCCAACTCTGACGGGGCAGTCGAAACCGCATTCAAAGATTGAATGGTTTTTTAAGTAAAGGGATCTATATATAATGAACTATCTATAAGAAGACAAATGTGCATAGATAGCAATGATACAAACTTTTATTATATTTTATATATATTCTATTAAAAAAAATCTACTTTTTGTTCCTCCCATGCTAATTTCATATGTAAGGACCTAATAAATCACATCTTTTTTTAAATAAAATAAAAAGCAAATCAGTGGCGCTACAACCTTTTTAGGTCTGGGCCTCAGATTTCTGTATCTGTTTTATGATAATTTATCAATCTAATAGACAAGTAGATGATCAGCTTCCTGTGCTTGACACTCGCTGTCGACTTTTGGGTCTAAGGAAATGTGGTTTTTCCTCACGATTTTTTCCTACACCGTTCGAGCGAATATTAAATGCTCACATAGCAAGAGAATCCATTGGTGCACAGCCGTGGTCGAACCTACGACCTCAGGGATGAGAGTCGCACATTGAAGCTATTATGCCGACACTGCTCTTTTTACATAGGTTAAATACGGTGCGTATTGGTTTGGTACCTGCGCATGGACGAATTACATAACTAATTTCAGTCATGACGACAAATCATGAGAGGCGAGAGGTCAAAAGGACAGAGGACATCCGCGTCTTTCTTTAACTACTATTACGATATTTTTACGTTGCCGTTGCATATAAATATTGTCTATGGGGTCTTATGTATTTTTACAACGTAAGAATTATTTTTTGTACTAAAAGCGCATACAAATTTTTGTGACAGCTTATCAGTTAAATATTAAGTCCCTAGACGTACAACCGGACATAGTTTTATTTTCTCGATCAACAACAAAAAACCATTGTCGTAACGCATATATATAATTATAATTTAAATTCATAATTATAATTAATGTCCTATTAATTTTCGCATATTGACATTTTTAATAAAACAAAAATCTGCAACGGCAAAGATGTATGAAATAAATAGTCTGAGAGTGAACTCATAAACACAAACACACCAACATTTTTTATACTATATTTTAGTGGGGTAAGGCCGTTGGCATTTTTACTGATTATAAATTTATAGTAATGCTGTTTATAATATGTATACGTATGATTTAAAATAGTAGTACCCTATAATAAACAAAAAAAACTAATTTTCCAGATTGTACAATAAGTACATATTGTACCTAATTTATTATATCCAAAAAATGCAAAAAAACTATCTTTAGTTCAACTGTTAAATTCACGCATAGTATAGTAGGACGCAAAGCTTATCAAAGACAAGTATTTTTTTTATAAAACATAAATCAGTCTTTTGCTTTAACTAAAATACTCTTTCGTCTCTTTTCGTCAAATTGTGCTGTAAAGAGATAGTTGAAAGACGGTAGTTAAAATAGTGCAATTAGACCGAATTATTTTTTATAAGGGGGTTAGACATCACAATACTTAATTCGTAACATATAATACTTACTTAAAATTAAAATATTTTACATATATGCACAAAAAAAGTTTGTTTTTAATTACATTGCATAAAATATTTATTGCTTTATAATTCGCATATCGCGCTGCACAGCGAAGTTTTTCATATTTTTTTTAAATTAACAATTTAGGCACACAATAGGTCTGGCCATCTGATTTCTGTTTCTGTTTCGTGACAATTTGTTTTTATTCTAATAGGTAGTAGGTGAACGGCCTTCTGTGCCTGACACACAATGTCGACTTTTTGGGTCTTAGGGTATATAGGTTCGAACCTACGACTTCAGGGGTGAAAGTCGCACGCGCAGCAAAGTTTGTCATCTACAATCATAAAATATACAATCAAATGTTTGATTTTGTATAACCGAATAACAAAACTTTTGTTTAAATGTGTATATGTTATAGTTTAATCTCTCTAGACATATTCAGAAAATTGTGGATAGAAGATAGATAAATAGATACGATATTATATTAAAATGATAACAGTTTACTATTTGCTTCTGCGCCAGCCCGTTGTACGCGAAACACAGAGAAATTATCTTCGCAAAAGCTTACATTAAAACGCACGCCACACTAAACTTACATATTTAAACAAGCAAAAACACCAGCCTATATATCCTTTACAATCAGAAACAGATCTTCTTACATCAGGTCCAGGACCCAGGCATTTGACAATAGCGGTATATAAAGGGGGCCGAGTGGGTCGCACATCCCAGAATTGTTCAATACCCTGGTGGAGTATTACCAATTCGCAATTCTAGGCTAAGGAAACTCACTCACAAGAATTCGACCAGACACTAAAGAAATGGTTAAAATTTATTAAATTAAAATAAATTTGTCACAAGAAAATTTTTGGTAATGCATATGATGATGATCGCATATGAAATGGTATAAGTCTAAGCGCTAATATTTGGAAAAAAATAAACGATTTAAGCGATCGAGTATGTGATATGAAAGAGACCATTAAACATATAATATTTACTTTTACATTTATTTTTCAAATAGTGACGAAAACATATTTAAATACTAAATTTATAATCTGGAAAAAAAGTCATAAAACAACATTTGGTGTTTTTTTAAATAGTAAAAGCCAAAACGGCCAGTCACATGTAGCATTTAAGCGCAAGTAAAGCGCACTATAAAACGATAATTATAATTTGACTCATATCTTTAAGCCTATTTTGCCAAAAAAATATACATATGTATTTAAATATATATTGTAAATTTATTTGTTCTTAACGCCAAATTTTATTTATTATTAGAACCTATAATTATTTTTAACACATCGCATTTCTTCACATCTGAACCCTTTTTGATAGAATACATAATATAAAGGTATATAAAAAGGAAATATTTCTTTAAATAAGGGTTTCCATTGCTTTACACCGCTAGCAGTGAGCAGTGTTGGCCTGTGACTTAAGCGAGCACCTCTCAAACCCTGAGGTAGCGCGATCGAATAACGACTATGCACCCATGGACTATTCATTCTATGTCTGCATTTAAAAATATCTCATACGAGAACGTCGCGATGAAACCGACGTGCCTTAACCAAAAGTATCATGAAACATATATAGAAGTTGCAAAAATGAGATTTAGCGCAAGGAGGCTAAAGACCGCACGTCAAAAATTACGTCTCCTTTCTTAATATTTCCGTTAGGAGTTCTAGCGACACTTAATTCACTCGATATTTAAGAGTACTCACATGGAATTCCGATGTTCTTATATTGTCAATAACAATCCTTATATCAATTTGTCTCTGCGCTTAGTATCTAGCTTTTCCATTGTGATCGCAGGCCGTGTCCGCTTTTTTTATGTCCTTCGTATAGGTAGGCTACCTCCTGAGTGATCTAACGAAAGTTTTCTTTTCCTTCAGAACTTTTATGGCATAGAGTGGAGCTGCTTTTGCGAAATTCTTTTTCTCTGCAGAGCAGCTTCTAAATAGAGCTAATAACTACATAGAGCGCGTGAAGTCCGAGTTGCTTCAGTGAAGTGAGTCAAGATTTCAATGGCTCCACTAATAACAATTTTGCCTCCATCGTAAGCCGTAGTTTAAGTTTCCTGGTTATTACCATGGCTTTTTTCCAGAAGCTGCTTAACTTACATGCAATACAAAATATGATATTCAGTCTATCTATTGGCAAGCAGTAGTTCATCTACAGCTTGTCCATCGACAAATGCCTCCTCTAGAAATATCTAATCTTGGCGTCCCTCATAAGGTTTACCTGTCTCTATCGATTCCCATTTCATGGATCATTTCGTTACGATTCTGCTTCATTTTCGCTTCTCTCCCGTCATATATCCTATCTATCTCCACTTAGCTGTCTGTATGTCGTGTATGCGTCGTTAAATTTGGTTTTTATTTTAATATCATTTAATATTCATTTTACCTTTACTTCTTGCAATACTGTTGATCCAACTGAAAGGAAAGTATTGATTTGAGGATTTTTAGTAAGGAATTTGCTTCACAATATACAAAGAATAGAATTTTATAGGAAAGTATAAAAAAATATTCAGAAAATAAATTAAAATAAATAAATTTGTTGATCAGAGATTTTTTGTCTAGTTTAGCACCTACTTCGTTTAGATATAGTATTTTAATGTTTACTTTTAATACATCCAATAGTGCACTTATATAGCTTAGCCATGATCACATAGCATAATTTTAAAATAGAGCTTTCCAAGCAAATCTTTTTGATTGTTGTAATATTCTTACATGTTTACAATCTTGTTCAACACTATTTCTTTGAATTTTCTGTGATTCAATAAGAGAAAACTAGGTTTATGGACCAAAATATATGTAAAACTAGTTTTTCAACTTTTAGGAATTATGAGTTTAACCGAAGAGTATCTAGATTAGTATTTTATTTTATTAATTACTATTAATCAATCATGTGTTCCTTTTTGAATTTAAAATTTATTTTACATATTTAATAAAAATTCTTAGGATTTATTTATTATTCAATTATAGTTCAAATTTTATCTAAAACAAATAGGTACATATATTTTTGAACTTTCAAGTTTTTATACATATTGCAGTATAATATAATTAATGAATATCACTTAATTGACCCCTTATTAACTGATTTCATTGTTTTTAACTAAATTGTCATCTGTCTCTTTTCATTACAGTGTTAAAACAATTTGACAGAAAGAAACAAGAGAGTACTATAGTTAAAAGAGTGCAATTAAACTTTGTTTTATAAGGAGGTAAGTTTATAGGCAATTTCAGTCTTAAAGTCTTACTGGACTTACACAGTTCATGTAAACTTATATCTTTATCGGCAATCACATTCAGACCTGTTCTAGCAACATTTAAATTTTTGGTACATTAGCATTATTGAGCTTAATCAGTTAATTCCATAATAGAGTGTTCCTATACCATTGTGGAATGGTAAGTAAGCGTCATTCTCAATTTAAGTTCATCATCAGGTATCCAGTGTTTTGCCTTTATCAAGTTCCGGTTACCACAACCGGCAACTGAAAAGAAAATAAACCTGGTCTTACTTTCGTTTCACCGTATCTTTCACAGTTATTACTGTGTACACATTAAACACTTGCTTGTAGGGTATAGAAAACATTTTGAAGACTTACTTGTCTTAAGACACAAAAGTTGTACTTTAAATGGCACAGAAGACTACTTGCCTACTTGCTGAAAGAATAATCATCAACAAAACAGAAATGCCTGCAATATGTCGACATTGGGTAACCAAGACTTTTGAGCTAGCCAACCAGAGGATAAACTAGTAATTCTCCCTTTAGGTTGCGAGAACAGCACACATTCCGTCTTCTGCATTGTAATAAGTTAAAAATAATACCTGGGCATTTGATTCCCTTCTTTTTCTTTTGTATGATGTTCATTATTACTTCTTTTTCATATATATGTCCACACAGTGAGTTTCTTACTGGATCTTCTGTTTTTTTTGTAAAAGGGTCATTCTACAAGGTAATTTTTAAAATTAGATCAATTAATTATATTAAGAATTCTGTAAATTTTTCAAATATGGGATTTCAAACAAAATACTTACATATGTTGTTTGAGATTCTGTTATTGCTATCTCTGAATCATCTAAGTTACCTAAAAAAAAAAAACACAATTAAAGATATAAATAATATGTGGTGTAAATATGATTTTTTGAGGACTTACTTATTGGACTTTGCATTGCTTTTTCAACGTGTTTCTTAAATTCCAACATGTATGGATGTCTATCAACAGTTAAACTGTTTTTTTGCCATAATACATAAGTTTGATTCAAAATTTGTATCTAGGCTGTCCACATTTGAAGAATCAATTTCTCCCTAAAACACTTAAGCAATTAGTAGATTCAAAAAAAGGAAGAAATATGAATTTTTGATAGATAAATGCAATCCAACGCCATAAAAACATGAGCAATAAAGTGTAAATATTGCTTTAGGCATAGAATTAGATATAAGTTTTGACTACGATTTTCCATGAAGATCTGAATAATAAGCGACTTTTAAATAATATAAATTACTTAGTAACTCATTGTGTATATACCTTGGCTTTTTCTAATGCCTGTGCCGCTACATCTTCTTGTGCTTCCATCATACAATATTCTTTCACGTATAACTTCATTTTTTCATATTCACTACTTTTTTCAACATCTAAATATTTCGATATGTTTTCTGTGCACGAATATAAACTACTAAGACATTGTTTTCGTAAATCCGTTAAATTAGGATCACCCATTATTGTTTATTATTATTCAACTAGTTTCACGTTAACGAGTATTTGTATATTTTATTATAATTCGATTATATATTTGTGTTCCCAAATGTAAAACCGTTATAATAATAATTAAGGTATTTATTCTCACTAAAGACCATGTGTAGACTACTCACTACAGTCACGCCATTTTTTTTTTTGGAGTTTATGGCCTACCTCCTGGGGCCTTAGTCAAGATGCCTTAACAGTAGTGTATGTAGAAAGTCGTAAACTTAATTTGTATGGAAATGACAGTTCGTGTCGAAAAGTTTTCATACAAATTTAGTTTTTGACGTTCTACATACACTACTGTTAAAGCATCTTGACTAAGGCCCCTGGTATCTAGACAACACAGTGACGCCAACTCCTACAGAATGTTCCCCCTAGGACCAACTTCAAATACCCCTAGATATCGAATAAAAACCCCTACAGTTATTGTTAATACACTCAGTTTGAGAGTTAATTTCAAACATGCATCAAAAATATATAAGTAGTATAAAATTTCAATCTTAGATTATTATAGCGCCTTGATATTTCAGATATAGCCAAGCTTGGAGTTTATATTCAGCTTAGTTGGTTGATTGGGTTCTAGGATTAATATAAATTTCAATCATTGTTCTCAATTATTGATGTATAGGGTCGTAGAATATTTCTAAAAAGTTGCTGTAACAAACGCAATAAACAAAAGCAATGAATAACCGTTCATGTTTCAGTTTTACTCAACATTTACAATTCTACATACCTTTTCTTCTTTATCCTAATTAATACAGCGTTGTCTTTTATTACTAAGCATTTTAATATCGTATGAAAGTGGTTATGATAATAATAATACATACGGATAGTTAACCTCAATTGTATTGAAGCAAGTAGGAGGTTGATGAGCACAGTTTTTTCACAAATATTTTCTAATATTAATTAGTATTGATTTAAATATTCAATTTAAATCACTTCTGATTGAATTTAATGAAAATAACTAGGTATGTTTCATAACCTTTAAACTAAGTAACAATAGGTCTTTGTGAAAAAGCATTGCTAAATTTCTTTGAAAAAATAATTAAAACTCCTTTATTTGTTTAAAAGGTACTACAAAGGTCATTATGGTCATTCAAAATTCTTGGCATAGCTGCTAACTTCACGCATATTCTATTTCTTTTTACTTGTAGATTGTCTTATTCCCATCTCGCTCGCGCACAATCGGCGCCCGGCTGGTTTAAAAATAATTCGCTAGTGTGCAATTTCATACTGATAAATTTGTGTCACGGTGCGCGCGCATCGTAAAATTTCACTCTCATCAATTTTTCATAACGCGTCTAAAGAAGTATAACTTCAAAAATTGTTTTCTTTTAAAACATAGTTTCATTACTATATAAACTAATCCTTAAAATGACGTTGGAGACAATTTTAACCATACTCGACTTTACTCTAAACCAATACAAACTAAACGAAGATTTTCTTATTACCTACTGTCAGTAGATAATGTATATCTAAAACCTAAATCTTATGGAAAAATAGTGGCGCAAAAATTATTACCAAATAAATAAAAGAAAGGGATAATAGACCTTGGTCAATCTTGACAAAAAAAAGAACAAGAAGACGAAGAGAAGAATTCTTTAGCCGATAAGTCTCAACTGAGATTTTTTTGTGTATGTACCATATAACCAGATTAAACGTGAAAACGAATTATTTTTTAAAGAATTACAGAGAATAAAAACTCACATATAGGTAACTAACTACTGACGCGGTCGGCCAGAGGGTCAAGTCTGTATGGGCTTACTTTTAAGTATCAACGGGTAGGGAGTAGATTTTTTAACTCGATCCGATTTTGTGGTTCGTATAAGAATTCGATCTGATTCATAGTATGCAAAAGAAGTCGCGAAGAAATTTTATTAAAAAAAATGTTTAAGCTACCCATAAAATTTGATATCATGAAATTTATGGAAAGCGCACGCGCGCATCTGCACATGCAGCAGTGTTAGCCCCTAAAGATGTGAATATTTTTGCATTCCCCAATAAACCACAATATGATGATGATGCAAGAGTGGTATCCTGGGACTGATGCTTGCGCTACTAGTAGACATGAAAAGTCGTATCAGACCACCTGTTAGCCGAGTTACCACGGGGTAGCCATGGGGTTATAATGTTGGTACTTTAATGTAGAAAATATTTAATAGCAATTAGGTACATAGAGAGAATTTACTTATCTATAGACTTGTGTTGATTGACAGTACTAGAAATCAAAGCACAGGAATATCTTTGATAGCAGATTGCAATGCATGCCAAAAGTTGTTTTACAGAATAGAGTTTCAAACTTTTGGCGCCATCATGGTTTTTTTTAATTTGGTCCACAAAATTAGGACAAATACATAATATTAATTGACATACATACAAAAATATACAATAGCGGTGCCGTCCCTAAAACATGTGAAAACGACCAGCGAAATCAAGTAAATATAATAAACAGTGTTAATACAAACAACCAAAAAATTAAAAACTATATAAGAATTAAACTATACTGCTCAAAACAAAAACAAAACTTTAAAGAAGAACTAAACTTTTTACTTAAGGTTTTAATTATTACTTGCCACTAGATAATGTTAAGGCATTGTCGAAGAAAATAAAAAACAAAAGAGCATCGGCGTTTTGGTTAGTAGTCCTATAATAAAGTGGCAGTGTGTCTAGAAACACCTAAAAACAAAGTGACGTCTTTGAATTTTCATTACTTTCTAATCACTGAAAACACATTTTAAGTAGTTTTTTTCAATCTTTTGAGTATTAATAGAAATTGAAGTGAGCCTTTTGAGTATTGTTATTCATTGAAGCGAGTGAGTTTAGGTCATAATGCCAGATCTGACTGAATTGCATGTCTCCCGAGCTATCGCTTTGCTTGAAGAGGGTCGAACTATGCGTTATGTAGGAAATGATCTAGGAGTAGCCCCTTCTGTTATCTACAGACTTTGGAAGCGATACCGTGAGACGGGAGAATACTCACGAAGGCGTGGTCAAGGTCGAAAGAGAAAAACTACACGTTTGCAAGATCGCTACATCGTCAACTGTGCTTTACGTAACCGCACCACAACTGCAAGAGATCTACAAAATACACTAAGGACGGCTACTGGTGTAGAAATTTCCGACCACACGGTAAGAAATAGGTTGTTGGAAGCCAATTTGAGATCACGCCGACAAGTTCGGGCTGTGCGTCTAACAATTCAACATAGACAAGCTCGCCGACAGTTCGCGCAAAATCACGCTAATTGGCAACTTCGACATTGGAGGCCAGTGCTTTTTACTGACGAATCACGATTCCGTCTAACACGTTGCGATGGTCGTCTCCGTGTTTACAGACGCCCAGGCGAGCGATACAGTGCAGCAGCAGTCCAGGAATATGACAAATTTGGATGTGGCTCTGTGATGGTTTGGGGCGGAGTTAGTTTGGACGAGCGCACAGATCTCGTCGTTGTTCCCGGGCGCTTGTGTGCTCAAACTTACATTGAAAATGTGCTCGAAGATCATGTTTGGCCCGCAGCATATGGTATGGGCCCAGATTTTCTTTTAATGCAAGATAATGCCAGGCCGCATACTGCAGCCATCACGTCAGATTACTTACGACAGCAGGAAATCCGTGTAATGGAGTGGCCTTCCATGAGCCCTGACCTAAATCCAATTTAACACATTTGGGACTTGCTTGACAGGCGCATCCGGAAGCGTCCGATTGCACCTCAAACACTGCAGCAGCTCACTGAAGCGTTGATTGAAGAATGGGAGCGAATTCCACAAGAAGATATTCGGAGGATCATACGAAGCATGCCGCGTCGTTGTCAAGCCGTGATTAGGGCTCATGGAGGCCACACACGTTACTGAAAGTCACTAAAGACGAATATTCAAACGATATAAGAATAATTCTTTGATGGACCTTTTTTATCACCAATTAGTTTTTCGTCTACAATGCACATTTTAATTTTTTTTTAATAAAAAAAATACAAATTGATTTTTTTGTAATTAACAAATTAACAAGGTAAAAAATAGCGTACAAGTTAATTTAAATCTAATTTTAGTTTAAGCAATAGAAAGGAGAAAAATCTTGTTCCGCTAATTGTTTTGAGCAGTATATTTGAACCAAGAAAAGAAATTATCGGTACTGTCATAAAATGTTTGAAAACTGCTCATTATTTCGTTTTTCTCTCTGCTTTATTTTTTATTATTATTAAACCTTTTTAATTTTAGTTTTTAATGATAGGGAACTATTACAATTCAAACGTTTGTTTTAATGAGACTTTATTAATCGAAATCGATAAGAAATGCTCTGTTGTGATCGGGAAGCTGGCAGAGCATTTTACGATTTTGAAAAAAAGTATTTTCTGAACTTAAAAGTCCAGAACTCTTTCTAAAAACTATCAGGAACTATAGAACTATTGAGTGTGCTGCCAGAACTCTATTTTTTTTGTGCTCTGCTTGTAAGTGCTCTGCTCACTTCACAGACACCTGTATCTAAGATCCCTGGACTTTTCATTCATTACCTTTCTACATACGCTAAAGTGTGTTTTTAAATGAAATCTTAAAACGGGTTTAATGTGTTTTATTTGTCAAAAAGTAAATTACAATTTTATTTAATCACAATTTCCTTTTCAAGTTAGTCGTAACAATCGAAATTCAAATTGCCTGAACTTTTGAATTATTTATTTCTGAATGATGGATGGAATTTAACAATATTTCTAAAATCTTCGTCGAAACATATCCTTCAAATATGTTAAATCCCTATAGTATTTTTAAATTAAATTAATATAATAGTCTTAAATAAAATATTACACTCTAAATGTGAAGCTTAGCAGGCCGTTTGTGAGTATCCTATTGAGAAACCCCTATTGGCGATATCTGGTGGTGTAGCGCCCACTGCACCTTCATTAGCGTTGGTAACGACGTATAACACGAAAGGCTTAAGCGTTGCTGTAACAAAAATGGAACATATTATATAGTTTTATTACTGGTAATTAATCTATTTAAATTTAAAAAATAATATAAATGTAAATTCATCTAGTGGTGATAGATCTGTTCACGACTCTTAGTCTCATTTTTTTATTCTATTTATAGAGTTATACAGGGTTATTAAATAACACAAATTTCCGGCTTCTTTTGTGATCAATTAGAACAAGATGTTTTAAAGTTTCTTTGAAAGAAGTTGTTAGGCATTATTTGTGAGCTAAGAACATATATTTTAAAAATCATCTGCAAGCCAGATTTTTTGTGTGTTTTTAAGAAAAACTCATTTTTTAAAAATAATTTCGTTACTCGTCTCGAATTTTCAAATTTGGACCGATAAACAAGAAAAAATTGGATACTTTTATTGTAATACATTTTTGATGTTGCATTTTAGACAAAATCAAAAATGTAAAAAATAATGTAATTCATTTGTTTTTTGCTTATTTTGAAAAAAGCTAATAACATGCTAAATCAACAGTTTCAGGATCAGTTTTGCATAATGGGTTAAAATCCCAAATAACTGTCACCTTCGAACGGGAAGACGTCGAATTACCAATAACCCTGTATATTGTAGGCGAGTGTAGGATCAGCTGTTTGTGCCTGTGATGTCTTCCTTCAAGTAGCTGTCAATTGCGTAAAATGTAAAACGAATTGCAAAGCAGACGTTTGAACGCATGGCCTTATGACTGAAAATCGTTTTACTTTACTGACTTTTTAACTTACACGTAACTGGAACAAAGCCAAGACCACAAAAGCGGTCTACTCCTATAGGCTGACTTGTAGCGGTATTTACTGGGTTAGGTATGACCACGAAATCCGTAGTGCATGCCAGCCCATTCACTGCACCGACCGCGGTTCCTAACACTGTGTTATCCGCACCCTCCACGTCGCCGGTCACCGTGAACGAGAAATTATCACCTCCCGTCTGTAATTTAAAAACTCACTAACTTCACTGCCATCTTACGAACCAAACAAATTTGAATCTTACATATGACCACGCCTGCACTAGAAATCTAGGGTAATTAATTTTCCTAATACTTGAACAATCTAGCCAGATTTAAAGACAGTATCATAGTAGTGAATCTTACTTGTGCATATTGAATTCCACAAAATCCTGCTTCCATTCTTATACAAATACCATAATTGGTATTTGCGATTTGTCGCGTTCCCGTTACCAAGGAGCCACTGAGCACCGCGTTTGCTGGTGTTCCATAGTTAAAACTTGTTATCGTTCCACTCCTGCCTGTATAATATTGGAGGCAACCGTTTGGCGCTGAAATTTAATTAATTGGTTAATTTTGAAACAGAAATATCATGTGTATTAAATTTGATAAACAGAACCTAGATATTTATAAACTAATTTAAAATTGTATTTTAAAGTAATAATAAAATAATTCTTTCGCATTCGAAGCTACAAAGGCCTGATTACTCACTTGCCAGTGAAGGTAGTAATAATAAGTAGTGGAACGTATAATGTAGTTACCCCCTGCCCCATTATGAACTTCGGCCAGTTAAACCCCCTCACTCAGTTCTTTAATAACCTTAAAAGAGTATTGACCTAAAAATTCGAACGTTCCAACAAAGCAAGACCAGGCATTTATGAGTCGAGTTAGTCAGAGTTTATGAGTCGATGATAAGTAAAATGTCTACCTAATCCTGGACAATCACAGCCAAGTTGTGTTAATCTCATATTCCATCGTCTACCAAATGAAGTAGCAAGAGTTGCTGCTACGGTAATTGTAATTGCAGCATTTCCGTTAAAGTCAACGAAGATGGTTTGCCCAGTATTGTCCCCACATAATACAGGCACTTGAGTATTTCCTCCTGTTATAGTCAGTGAGTCCACGTTACAAACACCATCACCATTCGGCTGTGCCAGGACGAGGTCCAGGAATTCAATTCGGAGCTAAAAGTAAGAGGCGTTAATGGTACTTAAGAAAATTATTACAATAGTCAAACTATATTTTATAAACGTGCTATACATCGCGTTTCTAGTTTTATATAAGACTTAATCTTCGTTTTACGCATATACACAGTGAACTCCATGCAATATACCTGAGACTTTGGACACAATCAGCTATCTAGTGTGCAACCCAAGTGTGCTCCAAGAACTCGGTTTATTTGTACCTATGGGATATGTGCGACGGCGAAGGCCAAGGTGATTTGCGATACCACGGGCCAAAACCAGTCTGTTGCACAGATCACCTTTATCAAAGAATGCTGTCTCCGACACAATCGACATATTTATATGTTATTGTGTTAAATAATATATACTTTATTATATATTTTTTCGATAAATAAATCTTGACACATATAGGGTCATCTGCTTCTAATTGAAAAACCCAAGGTTGGAGATATTGAATTTTGCCAATAACATCGGTGTTGGTTTAGTGTTCAGAGTTACATATTTAGTATTTTTACACGCTTATGTGCTCATTCGAGGTACTGGGCGTACACTAGCTTACCGTAAACTGCTAACTTACCTGGCATATCATATTGTTACAGCGATTCACAATAAGGTTACATGCCTGTCCGCCTGCAAAGGCTGCGGGGTAGCCTGGACTTGTGAAGTATGTATTGTTCACATTCGTTGTAGACCCACAACTTCTCGACACTGTAAGTATTCGAATTATACTGACCTTTTTTGTACTCGTAATTGTACTTAAAAACAATGAACATAAAAATGAAATATATAGGCTGCGACATGCGGCTTTCTGATTTCCTAGCAAAGGATAATAATAGGTCACGTATAGAAGTACAAAAAAGTGAACTAAATATAACAAGGTTATGCTTAAAAATAATGATAAAGTTACAATCGATGTCGTAGCTGCCATTCGTATAAAAAAAAATGAAAAAATAAACAAAATGATTTAAATTAGATTTTACTGAAACATGGCGCAAATAAAGTAACGAAAAATTGGTCGGTAAATAATAATTTGTCAGTATGTAAAACGAGCATTGTTGGCCTAGTTACTTAAGCGTGCTACTCCCTCAACCCTGAAGTCGAGTGTTCGAATCAAGAAGGAATCAAGAGGGATAACCTACTTGTCTCTAAGAAATAAAATTAATCATATAAACGGATGCAATCTACTACTAAAATATGTATGTTGTAGCGCCACTGAGTAATTTATTTATTATTATTAAAACCGTACTCTTATGCAAAGCATATTTAGCGGGGAGTCTAAAAATGATAGTGCTTTATTAATCGCTGTGCACAATTCATATAATTGAGCAGTGTTGGCCTAGTGGCTTCAGCGTGCGACTCTCATACCTAAGGTCGTAGGTTCGATCCCCGGCTGTGAACCAATGGATTTTCTTTCTATGTGCGCATTTAAAATTTGTTCGAACGGTGAAGGAAAACATAGTGAGGAAACCGACATGTCTTAGACACTTAGACGGCGTGTGTCAGGCACTGGAGGCTGATCACCTACTTGCATCAGATTTAAAAATGATCATGAAACAGATTCAGAAATCTGAGGCCAAGACCTAAAGAGGTTGTAGCACCACTGATTTATTTATTTTATTTGCACAATTCATATAAGCCAGGCCTTTATTACAAAATCTCCTTACCTACGCAACATCTTCCTCGTCGTGCGGCACAAGTCCCAGTTATAGTTCCATTGAGATTGTTGCATTCGCGTCTAGCTAGGCACGTCCCATTCATAGTGTTCGTACTCGAACAATCAGAATTTGCAAATCTGACGATACTGATAAATGGAAACACTGAAAAAGAACGATTAAGCGCGTTATTTATTAAAGCACAATTTTAGAGTAATTATAAAATATATAAGTAATTATAATCATATATTATTATTAATTATATCACCCTTGGTCCGTGGGGTCCTAGCACTATAAGGCGTTTTAAGGAAATAGAAAAAAAGGTTAGTCGACGACACAGGAGACCGAAGAGCTGGCAGTTACCTCGGACAAAATATAGTCTGGCTATTTAAAGAGGGAACGCTGCCAGTATCTTCGGAACCTTGCCTAAAGGGACTCCTTTTAATGATATATTTTAGTTATTATATTTTAAGGTTAGTTATTGTTCTTTTTTTTGTATTTATTACATAAGCATTATACTAAGTATATGGTGAATTTTAAAGTCAAATTTAACTAATAAGTAATTTAGTTCCAAGTATGCATTGAATTTATTTTTTATGAATAAGGGGGTTTATCTAAACAATAAATAAAGAAAGTTAGTATTTATAAAGAGGCCGTGTATAGATTTACCCCTTTTAGGGCATACAAATGTGATCACGTGTGCGGCTCTCGCGTTGATTAGAAGTGGTTAAAACATTAACAAAAATACACAACTAATAAAGAATACTAAATCACGCAATGAGGATACCTTCTCGGATTTATTAAATTTTACTTACCAGAGAAACTGCTTCAACTATAAAAAGCCGGACGGTATTTTTTTTTAAATATCCTACGATCGCTATGTAGTGAATGATATATTATTAGTATTATTTTTGTTTAGAACTCTTCGAGTGACAGGTGTTTATGAAAGCAATCATTATATTGCGAATGGTTTAGTTCCAGAATATTATATAACTTAGTACTTACGTTCTACTATAAAACAACTATTAAGGTCAAATACACGAATTAATTTATAAATGTGATACGCCTAGATGGCCTTAAAGTATTATAACATTAACAGTCGAACAAAATTTCAATGAACCAAATCTTACTTATTAACACTTTAGCGCCAAGCATTACTTACAAATCTTTCCTTTTCTTTCTCCTCCAATATCGTCTATTACATCGTCATCATCATCGTCAAAATTCCTTGCGTAGGTCGTTGCTGCCACCAACACAAGTACCGACACCACTGACAGCCACCACAATTTATTGTTCATTTTGAACTGCTGTCAAAACTATATTGTCATATTATCTATACGAAATGAGAGCGTTTCTAATAAGTCACCTTATATAAAGTGTGATAACGGTTACCTATTTGAACAAACCATTACTGTACCGTTTTTCATTTAGCACATTTGTGATATGCGATACTTCTGTTACCGTTGATTAGCAGCTAACGCTTTAGTTAAATCATATACTTATGACCGAAATTCCATAAATATCAGTTCGAGTCAGAATTTCCACAATCCATTAACCCTACTTTTAACTAAAGTACTATTTCTTTCAGTCTATTAGCGTTTACTTTATGATAAAAAGAGGCGAGGTACTTTCAATAAAAGAATACAACACCGATTTAGATATTAAGGGTCCCAGAAAAGATCCATTGCGATTGTCAATGTTCCCATGATCGGTGGTTACGAAAGACGGGCGATTGAATTACTTTTCGAGAAATATATATAAATCGCAAACACAGACATTTGTTGAGGTGTGTTGAGAAACTATTCTTATTTGTTGCTTATTTTTTGCTTCACCTCAGCCTCTTAGCTTTTATCAGAGCTAATTTGTTGCAGCGTTTTACAATTATTTTAACTACAGATATGTTATATCTTGCAATATGTCTCTCCTCTATAATAGTTGGATTATAAAAAATGTCTTTGAATGGGCCAGAATTCATTTGTTGGAATTAATTCGACCGCATATTTATATAGATGACAAATATTCCGCCGTGTTTAGTTGCACGGACGAAATTAATAAAACAATTTTGCCATCAATGACCGTGTATACGGCGCATCAATTGCTAAAAATAAAAAATCCTATCACACCAGACCAGACTCAAATTGTAGTTTAATTGCACAACTTTAACTATTACTTATCCGTCTGTTTCTCACAGCGTAGATTAATTTAGACAGAGAGAGAGGAAAGAGTACTTGGTTAAAAAAGTGCATATAGAAATTAGTTTTTGAAATTAATAGTTGGCGCGGTTTTTTTAATATAAAATGCAAAACGAATGTATTAAGGATTCAAATTGCAAATTGGTCAGACATAGACGAAGATGGAAAAATAATACAACAATAATATTTTAAGTGACTATAATAAATTTGTTTTGTGAAGTTGCAATTACATATTATACAATTAAGATTATGAGTTTTTTTTTAAATGGACTTTCTTATGTTTAACTATACAGCACATTTTCGCAAAACTACTTAAATATTTTTAATTTGTTTTCGAGACGAGACTAACCTAACTAATGTCTAAAAATTAAGATGTAGGTAATATTTACATTAAGAGATGGCATTTTATATCTAACTAGGTAACTATCGTAGTTCCTCATAATGCAATACCAAAAGCCTATTTTTTCACTACTAATTTATCTTGACTTAATGTCATATGACCCCCCCATAGTAAGCCTTAATCGCGTTCGGTCTTGAGCTTCGCATTTTTCTCCAAGTCTTTTCGGCTTTCTTGTAAAGTTACCCATATAACAGTAGACCAGTAACCCAAATCGCTCTTCAGAGCTGAATCTATATATTATTTAGAAGAAATAAAGGTTAAATAGTGGTAAAAGCAAAACTTGATGAGCATGATAGCAAAACATTATGACCTGTTATTTTTAGCCATATTTTGTTATAACTTTTAATGGTACATATTCTATGATTATTATGTATCGTCAGTAGCGATTCGCATAATTTACCAACAATATTTCAGTTTCTTTAACGCGTATTATTAACATAACTGGACTTTTTAAGTGATGAGTAATTATGCTCAGTTTGCGATTAATGACATCTATTGCCGTACAGTTATTTACAAGATTATCAATAAATCCTTATCATTATTATGTGGCACGAACTGAATCTCTATTGAAGTAATGGGGTAAGACCAAAGTACTAAGCAAGTCTAGTCTAGTGCTTTCGGCTTTTGGCATTCATACAGTAAGATCCAATTTGTTAAAGGTATTTATCTTATTAATATTGAAAATATAAAATAACACCTCGGTACCGGGTGTAAATAGACCTCATCGAATAAGAAAATATTAGTTTATACGTAGAATTGTAAAATATTATAAAGAAAAAAAATATTACAAATTCTTGCTCCCCAAATAACATAACTGGTTATCGAAAGCGGTCTAACTACACCCTGTATATTGAACTTAAATATAAAAGAATAAAAAACTTTTCATTGGTAATAAATTATCTGACTTAGTCATACATAACTAATCATAAACTTAAATAAAACGTGAAACCAAACATAATCTTTCTTAAATTTAATCAAAGGTACGAAATTATATAACAGGAGTAACCTGGTACTAACTTATAGCTATAAATTTCTAATCATAGTTTCTTCATACATTGTTCTTGTCTCCTACATTTCCACTTCATAAAGGAAGAATCCTGCCTCATGAATTTTGCCTCAAAACTGTAACGTAATCTTACAATAAAATAAAGTTTATTAAAGCACGTAAAATTTTACAAAAAATATCGGTAATTTTGAAGATCCGCTAATTTGTCTTACGCTTAGTATGGCAATTCCTGATTTATGGCAAACTAATTTGGCTTTAAGACTATCTACAATATCTACAATTGAAGAAATTTTCTCAAACAGAACTTCCTTTTACTACCGTAAAATTCTTCAAGACCGAACTTTTTATATTTTGATACAGAAGCAATCATAAATCAGGCAATGTGTTGTGAAAGAAGTCACGTCTTTTCTATGTGGGAAGATGAGATAATCTTTATTGATAACCTATGCCAATAAACAAGTCAACTAGAGAAGGTGTATGACTATTTTAACTGGTATTGTTAATTTGTATACGGTAAACGGAATTAGTAATTCGTTGGTAATGTTAATTTTTATCTATAATATTTTTTAGTTGTAGAGCTGTATTAATTAATGGGAGGCGCTCTATGACGTCATGCGTTGGAACTCCGAAAAATTCATAGAGCAACTAACAGGTCTTAACCAACAACTACATGCCTATACAATGCACAAAAGAAACAGATATACAAATCTGAGGCAAATACGGTAGAGTATGGTTATCCCTTTGCTACATGGAATATTAATTTTTTTACTCACGGTATTTTTTTGTAGACAGTACGAGAGGCTAAAAGAGTCAGTCATGAAAGTTTCCTAACATTTTAATCATATACGTTCACTCACAGTCTATACACGTGTGAATTAATAACAACCAATTGTTATATAGAATAAACTATGTTACTAATTCAGGAACCGTAAAACAACTCTCATTATGACTTTTATCATTTATTACGTTTTGAATGTGACATAAAAAGCATTTAATAAACAAAGAAATTTTTTAATTTAATTAATCAGACTCTTACGAGGATTTTATTTCTATAGGTAAACTTTTATCTATTTTGATATAAATTAAACTTTCACAACACATAGTATGATAATGTGGACCTGTGTTACAAATATGCTTAATAAGACCTATTTAAATATATCCTAATATAAGGGCAAGGTAGAGAAGTAGAAATATGCACTTGTTTTATTCTAATTATGATTATTCTATTCTAAATGCAAGAGAGATTGGCAAGTCATAAAGTATTGTGTGTGATGAACTCGTAGCAATGAACATTAGGGGTTCTTCCTTATTGCATACCCATACTTTTTTGTATAATTTTATTCAAAAAATTTGTCTTGTTAAGGGATGTACAGATTGCTTTTTCCATATAAATAATCCTTTGCCCACGTGAATACAGAAGTGCGGTTTAATTAAAGACTACTTAAGCTATAAATATCAAAATATTTGCTATTTACTTCAAAATTATTGATTATTATTAATATTGATGAACTTAAGAAGGCAGTAGTAAAGGCACTATATTCGCTCAAAATGGACATTATGTTTTACTTGAAATCTATATACAATATTCTCTGGACGGACACAATAAGGATTTTTATTACTAAATTTAAATATATTTACGAATTATAAACACATATTGTGCGCATGATGTAAGCATACAACGATGAATGAAGTGACTTGAAACAACTCTAAACTATTTTAACTTGTTGAATATCAAATCTGTTTTATAACAAGACTAGAAAGTGTGAGGAGAGCGAACACAACGACCTCGAGATTCATTTGGAGAATTCATATTTTCGATGAAAATTTTGTTTTCAAAAGGGTGAATAAAATAAAAGCCAGCTTTGGCTACCTCAAATTAGTCCTGCTATAAGATGAGTGTAGCCAGAGCTTTTATGTTTCTAAGAGATACAATAATGATACCGTTTATATTTTTTAAATTGAATGCTAGACTTGGTTAGGTCTCTGCAGGTCGTATATTCAACATCTCCTAGGTAATTATTAAATTGAATAAACACTTACAAACTAAAACTATCGCCTAAAACCTATGCCAATAATATCTTGGATATTCAAATTCTCTTAAAAGTAATAAACTCAATAAATTAATCATATCTAATCAATACTAAAGTTACGGAGCGATAACAACATCAATGCAGATGTCGTGAGCAAATACCCTTAAGTAAGTTGTAGTACTTATTTAGTTTTTAGAATATTTACATATATTAAGTAACTTAAAGCAGTGAATAAATTGGTCTTTGCAATATCTCCGCAAGATAAGTTTTATCTACATCGAAATTCAATTTGTATTGAACCCAATATTTCCTTAAAACATTATAATATTGTTTTTGAATCTCTGTGTTCCTAATGCTCATAATTATAATTTTTAATACTAGCCGACACATCTAAGTAGTTAATAAGATTTCCTTAGATCATAATAATCTTGAAACTGGCAATGGATTTATGAATTTTCAAAATTAAATTGCAGGTAACGTATCTTGGATATCACATTTGTAATCAATCCAACAATGATTTTCATGAAACTACCTATGTATGAAAAACTTCTATGTGGAGAACACTGGAACTTGCACGATTCTTATAATTATCAAATTTTAAGTTAATCTCATTTCTCTTTTCACGATATATGACCGACGAAGTGTATGGCCGTAACGTTTGCAGAATATCCTTGTGTAGATCACAATACGCTGTAAAACGTGTCCAGCAGGCTAGAGTCTAGGTCAGTTTCCAGAAATAGATTTCCACTACAATCATCCTGAAACGAAAACAATTGACGTTTTAAATAAAGTAACAGTCTTGACCTCAGCATTAGGTATACGATAAACCTCGTGTTTGTATGTGACGTCACAAATGTTTATTCCAGATTAGAATATAGCAATTGTAAGCTCATGAGAATATTGCACGTACTAATTGACAAAAATTACCTGAGGGATTTGAGGCGCCGGCGGCTGGTCCGCGCCTCTTCTCGCGTGTCATTTCGAGGTTTTTGGCAAGTGCCGTTTCATGTGAAGTGCGAGGTGGTCAGACCTGGCGAAGGACCGCTCGCAGACTGTACATTTAAACGGCTTGGCTCCCGTGTGCTTACGGTAGTGACGCGTCAGTTCGTCTGAACGAGCGAACCTCCATTCGCACTCCGGCCATTGGCAAGTATAAGGTTTCTCTCCTGTTACATCGGAAGATTTTAATTTATACTAGAATAGTGTATCATGTTATAAGGAAAAAAATCGCTAAGCCTGTAAATGCGACGTTGCAAAATTGCATATTGATAGCGCGGCTTTTGCTGACGCCTGCCATGGATGTACATATTATATTCGCTTTTCAATATTCGCTAAGGCAAACGCACCGCTAATATATGGAATCAGACAATTCTTTATTATAATTACCTGTATGTATTCTTTGATGAGCCTTCAGATGCGAACTCTTCGTATAAACTTTCGTGCATCCTGAAACATGTATTTGTTTAAAACCTTTGTTGCTGGTTAAATTGAGAAAATAAATAATAATTACATTCTAATAGTTACCAATTTAGCTGCATTTTATTAAGATATTTAAGGGCATTAAGACATATTGTAGATGGAAAATGGAAAATAGTTTAAATTTACGGACTATTTAAGAAATCGTGACGTTCTTTACTGGACAAAATATTTTGATATAGAAATTTAAATTCTAAGAATAATACCGCTACGCGTTGCCGGACTTTAAGTAATTGGTACGCTCTTTTCTTGATGGACACTAAGTCGGATTGGGTCGGTAATACTTCAGTGGGCAGTTGGTTCCACATAGTGGTGGTGCGCGGCAGAAATTGCCTTAAGAATCGCTCAGTTGTGGAACGATCAACTCCTCTGAACACTGTCATGGTAAGTGCGGTAGAAGATGAAGAGCGACCCCACATCTCTACGCAACGCCAAGGGACGCCACTCGGAGGAAGGTCAAGATGAAGGAGCTGGTACTGAAGAGTACCCACCCAGAGGTGAAAATAGTACTGGAGTACTATTTTGAGGGCTGAATTTTTGCTTTATAGAGTTGCAAGCGGTGGCCCGGAGTGAGGTACCGTCTTCTAAATGACCAGTATTTTGATGCAAGCTGAGGCTTTGGGAAGGATAGTGTCTTTAGACACAGGAGTAGCGACAAAGGGAGTTGCGTTGGAGTGCGGAAAACGCGCAAACTTGTGTCTTCTTCTTCTTGTTCTTGGGGTTAAATTTCACTAGATTTAGACTACCCCAGTCGGAGACTTCACGTAGCAGAGTCGACTTCAGACACAAGTTTTTTCAGGTCATCGACAACTGCCCGAGAACTACCTGCCCGGTTTTATAGAGTAAAGCTTCTAAAAAGTGGTCTTAGGAAAATTCCAATTTAATTTACAAAATGCTTTTACTGTGTATATATACTAGAATTCTATTGAACATAGAGGGAATTAAAGAAGAGGTACATATAATCATGAGCAGTGTTGGCCTAGTGGATTCAGCGTGCGACTCGCATGTTCGATCCTCGGCTGTGCACCAATTGACTGTCTTTCTATGTGCGCATTTAACATTTGCTTGAACGGTGAAGGAAAACATTGTGAGGAAACCGACATGTTAGACCCAAAAAGTCGACGGCGTGTGTCAGGCACTGGAGGCTGATCACCTACTTGCTTATTAGATTTAAAAATGATCATGAAACAGATTCAGAAATCTGAGGCCAAGACCTAAAGAGGTTGTAGTGCCACTGTTTTTTTTTTTCAAAAATCATTTTAAGTATGGTACCTATATATGGCAGAGTTATTTTACACTGTATGGAAATTTTGACACGCTGTACGAGAAAATCAATACGTGCATGGTATCCGGTACCTACTGAAATTTTTATAGCTCCTTGTTAACGGCTCAAGGGTGTATATTTATAATATTAAGGTTACCAAGGAAGTCGCAGTGATGAACTCTTCTCTTCTCCAACTCGGGATTGTTCCGTCTGTTATACTTCATAGAGTGGGACGGTGGCCCAAGTCTTGAGTGGTGAATTGGACCATGTCCTAGAGGAGATGGCCCCAGTGGTTGTGGTGGCATCTGCATTTGTTGCATAGGCTGAAATTTAAAGGACACCATTAAAATCTTATCTTAATTATCTTCTTTTTATTTTAATATAAATTGTAAATAAAATTAATTAAAAAGTGTAATTTATAACGTAATAATCGTTTGAGAAATCGAAACTATTCATTTGTTTTTGATTGGCATTACAATTCCGTTGACTTTCCTCATCTAACCAAAGTAATTTTCTTTTTACTGATCATGGTTTGGTTTGATTCAAAAACACTATCACTACTCAATTGAGAGTAAAGAATACTTATGTGCTAATACCGGCTGATGATGCTGGACATGTGTTTGATGTTGATGCCCCAAAGGTGGTCGATGCATGGGGGGCGGGTGGTAAGGTGGAGGCGGCGTTCGTCTTGGTCCACACTGTAATATATCGCATAACTTTACTATTAATGAACAATATATCTAATAATGAGCTCTATTATGATGACTGTAAGAAATCGAAAATCGTTAATTACTTGATGACTTGCAAAATAATGCGATAATTCATAGATAACCTGATATTTCAACTGCTTACCCACTCCGTTTAAACTGTTCGCCATTTTATTTGTCCGTATCAGGTTCCCAGTGTTAATAAATATACAACTTATACGTCTACACAAAAGTCTTTAAAAACCACCAATCATTCGCTAAGCAGAGATGGTACCATCTGTTGTTTAATCGCTAGCATCGCAGAGCTTGAATTAAAGTTCTAAATTTTAGAAATGAAAGAGTGATTTGCCTCCATAATAATAAAATACATTCTTCTGCATCTTAAAAACAAGATGTCAGTTTTATTTTTACCTGCATAGAATTGCCAGGGCTGCCTTGGTCAGATCCGGGGGGCGTTAGCGGGGACATATAGACAAGTCGCGATGGTGGATATTTTGGGAACGGTGTCGCTGGTTGCTGATGATGCTGTGCGGGCTGGGGTTGCGCGTACGTTGGCGGCGCAAGGAGCCTCTCCGTCTTGATTTCCAGCGGACTAAGAAGTGGAGTAGCGCATTCCTCAAGCAGAGCCTCATCTGTTTCCAGCTTGACGTGTGTTGCACCCAACGGCGCGAGCATGTTCGCATTCTCAGGGTCAATGTTCCTGATGGAAGACGCGATGTCTTCCCACAAGGCCGGCCGCAGGAAGGAATCATCGCGTGATGAAGTCCCGCCATCGAAAAGGTCCATGTGGGCGGATGCGATTGATGCGCCCTCTTGCTTGCAAAGAAGCGATTCGAGCTCGGAAGTCTGAAAATGATTACAACGTGTATTAATAACTGAGTGTAATAATAATTCACACAATACAAAATCAATAAGCATTATTAAAATCTTATTCAAATGTAAACTTTCCTACATTATTTACATCATGATTTATTCTAAGAAATACCACAAGAAATTTATTATGCAAATCCATTGATCACAAAGACCAATCCCACAGGGCAGTGTATTTCAAACAGACAGTGGTTTGGCTATTGAGTAAAATCTGCAGGTAGAGATCGTTAAGGGAGATATTGTTTCGATTGAAAATCTGTCGTGAGGTATGTCTAACTTATTACTTATATTATTATAGTATCATATATAGCTAAAGATTTTACTTTATTGAAGCCATTTACAGTAAGTAGATCCTATACGCTTCCTACAAAACACTGAGTACAACATATTATTGAAGAATGATAAAATGTTGTGTGACCAAACATAAAAAACAAGTGCGATAATAATATTATATTGGGTGACCTTTCATTAGAAAAAGATCGATAACAGTGATTTACACATAGCTTTGAAATAGCGAACATGCTATTTTCAATTTCTCTGGCGGACTGAGCGAGCTTTCCATTAGCATACAATGAGCTAAGGCCCACGCAGGCTCACAGGTGACGTGCACGCATTATCATCAAACCGAACCAAAGATTATTGTTAACTTTGAACTTTTTATTCATGAAGCTTATTTGACTTTTGGTATCATCGTATTTAAATTCCAACTTTGATTTACGTTCTTATAATATCGCGGCATGAGTCACGGTGACACAAATCCTGAAGATAATGAAACGAGTATCAGCACAATGGTATTAGTGCTTTTCTAATCTCAGTTCTTCTGTTTAATAGAATAAAATAAATAATAAAACACCTATCCCGGCGGTTGTGTATGCAATTTCGAAATAGTTATCTTAACATCCGTAGCGCTGATGTTGCAACCTTGGGATCGCGCGGAACAAAAACTCAACGTTAAAGTCGGGATCACAATCTCTATCGTTATTGGGAATAAAATAATCTCTGTGCCGGCTTGAGAATCGCACGCTTAAAAACTAAGCTAACCTGCACTGTAGAGCAATTATTGCATTATTATTTACTTTTAGAAATAATTTGCAGTCATTTACATATATATTAAACTTATGTGTTATTTTCTTAGGGTATACCCTATAAAATTAAAATGCCGTTTACATTTGTTGAATTTAAACCACTTTCATAAATTTAACCATTATGAAAGTAAGTCCTTTGTTCCACGCATAGTTATCGTTAAGCCAATAATATCGTAATCAACAATCTAATAAGGTAAAATGAATTCAAAATATCAGTGCAACCTGCAGTACGAATAACCCTTCGATGCCGAATGGAACCTCTTGGTAGGGAGTTTGTGTCGCAAGCGCGTCGTGGCCGGACTGCGCGCGAATTCCTTCCATGACCTTTGCGGATCGATTGCGCCAGAGCCTCCTCAAGCACGGCTAGACAAGCTTAGGCAATTGCAGATTAAACCGTGTTACAGATCGACTAGCGCTGCCCTGATAGCAGACGCCAAATTAATTTTAAGATGAGGTCACGTAATCGAGAAAAACAATCAATGTTGCTGGCTCAATGCTTACAAAATCTATGCGAGAATTATTTTGTGCTTCGAGGAATTTATATCTAAATGAGATTATGGTAGATGTTTTCGTTTACACTTTACAGGGTTGACATCTAGATATATCTGGAATATATATTTATGTTCCAAAGTATGTAGAGATTTAGTAACTTGAGGATTAAATAATTTATCACTTGATTCGATTAGGTATCTGGATGATTACGGCTATCTAGAACCTGTATTATGTGGAATCGAATAGCTCTAACTGGTTCCTAAGTTTAAACTAAACGAGCGTGAATGTTTATGTCAGTAATAATTAGGATAGATAATAGACAGAGTGTAACTCCAGGAGTAGGTAGTCATTTTCTGCCCTAACGAGAAAATAAATTAACCTTACTATTGAAAGTAAAGAAAATAATAGCAGTGAAATATATCGAACTTTCACTCGATGGGTCTCAAAATCAATTTTTCAATAAGGAAATCGATTTTCACTTTATTAGTGTTTTGTATGTTAAAGGAAGTAGTCGGTGTGAGTTGGTATATAAAATGCTAAATTCTTTTTTGGAATTGTTTAGTACACTTTTTTAACGAGCAGTGTTGGCTTAGTGGCATTAGCATGCGACTCACAACCCTGAGGTCATAGGTTCGATCCCCGGCTGTGCAGAAACCAATGGACTTTCTTTTTCATTCTTTCTATGTGCGCATTTAACATTCGCTCGAACGGCGAAGGAAAACATCGTGAGGAAACCGGCATGCCTTATACCCAAAAAGTCGACGGCGTGTGGCACAGGAGACTGATCACTTACTTGCCTATTAGATTGACAAATGATCATAAAACAAATTCAGAAATCTGAGACCCAGTCCCTAAAAAAGTTGGAGCACCACTGATTTTTTTCGTAGTTTTTTTTTATATTTTGGTCGAATAAGTCTGTCCAACATATTTTTTTGCGTTTACAAGTGGGAAATGAGGTAATTGACCTTCTCAGACATCTAATCTATGGACATGGAGACTATTCTACCAGATCATTAACTTTTCTACCAAAATAGAACCCAATGGTAAAACATATTAAACTAAGGCTATGCCACTGAACCATGGCGGTAGTTTAAATATTAGGTCCTTACATATGAAATTGGCGTTTTGTATGGGAGGAACAAAAAGTCGAATATTTTTAAATATAATATATTTAATTAATCAAAGTATGAACCATTGTTTTCTATGCACTTTTGCCATCTCATAGGTAGTTCATTGATCCCTTTACTAAAAAAAACAGTCGGACGGGAATCAATAAAATCTGTGAAGGCGATTTGGACTGCCCTATCAGAGTTAAATTTTTTCCCTTGCAAGAGGTTGTCCAAATCACACATTAAAATGGGAGTCCCGCAAGGATCAATATTGGGACCATTTTTATTTCTTATATATATTAACGATTTGCCTTCTTATGCAAAGCCATTATGTGATATTGTATTGTTTGCTGATGACACGTCCTTGATTTTTAAAGTAAATAGATATAAGACCAATTTTGACGATGTGAACAATGCACTTTCTGAAATAGTGTGCTGATTTTCTGCAAATAATTTACAATTAAATGCCACAAAAACAAAATGCATAAGATTTACTTTAACTAATGTTAAAACTACAACTATAGAGCTTAAATTGAATAATGAAAAACTAAATTTAGTTGATTCTACGGTATTTCTAGGCATTACAATAGACCAAAAACTTCAATGGAGTCAGCATATCACTAAACTTTCTGACAAGCTTAGTTCTGCGGCATACGCTATTAGGAAAATTAGGCAACTCACAGACGAGGAAACTGCCAGAATAGTATATTTTAGTTACTTTCACAGCGTTATGTCGTATGGAATTCTTTTATGGAGCAAAGCAGCAGATATACAATCTATTTTTATCTTGCAAAAACGTGCTATTAGGTCAATTTATTGCTTGAAACCAGGCACTTCACTAAGAAATTTGTTCAAGAAAATCGATATTTTGACGGTACCTTCCCAATATATTTACAACTGTATCGTTTTTGTGCGTAGTAATATTAGTTCTCTTTTAAAGAACAGCGACATTCACAATAGGAATACAAGAAATAAGGGAAAACTTTTCCAGCCGTCTTACAGGTTGCAGAAAATAAATTCTTCATTTATGGGCCTAAGTATACGCTGCTATAACATGATTCCTAGTGAAATATTGGAACTGCCTTTAAACAGATTCAAAACACATATCAAAAAAACCTTAATGTGTAAAGGTTACTACACAGTCAATGACTACCTGGAAGATAAAAACGCTTGGCAATAGTTCTAATTATATTCTTATAATTTGATTGGTTATCTTTGAAGTGTTATGAATATGTGTGTAATGGTGAATGTGGTAAATCACAGAACAGATTTTATTTTTTTTACTTATGTAACTTTAATGACGTTGTGGTTTATGACATTTTCCTTTGAATAATTGTAATGTAAAGGGAGGGCAAAACTTGCTGAGTTTCTTGCCCGTTCTTCTCAGAACAAGGCCTCCTGGTAGTTTTGCGAACGGATGGCGTAGTCTTGCTCTTTCGTGAATTTTGTAAACGTTGTTGACATTCATAAGCATGCTCTAAGAAGCATCTAAATTGAATTAACGTATTTTGATTTGATTTGATTTGATTTGATTTGTGCAGTGTGTGGTCTAGCGTTGTCGTGAAGTAGCAGTGGCGTGGAGCGATTGACCAGCCTAGGTTGTTTAGCCGCTAGCTTTTCCATCATGGTTTGCAATTGCTGACAATAGACATAAGCCGTAATAGTCTGGCCAGATTTGAGAAAACTGCAATGAACAATACCGGCACTAGTCCACCAAACGCTTACAAGTAACTTTTTTGGGGTTAATTTTCACTTGGGGCAGGATTTGGCTGGCTGGCCAGGATGCAACCATTGCGCTGAGCGCTTCCGATTATCGTAAAGAATCCATTTTTCATCACAGGTAATGGTTCGCTTTAAAATACCTTCATTATTGTGCCGGTTCAGTAATGTAACGCAGCAGTCGACGCGCGTTTGCCGGTTTGCTTCAGTCAATTCGTGAGGTACGCATCTTTCAAGCTTTTTAATCTTCCCAATTTGCTTCAAGTGAATAAAAACAGTTTCATCACTAACACCGCAGCCTGCAGCTAACTCGGACGTGGTTTGCGATGGATCCGCTTCCACAATAGCCTTCAATACTTCATTATCAACTTGGGTCTCAGGCCGTCCACAGGGCTTGTTCTGCAGGTCGAAATTTCCAGAACGAAAACGTTGGAACCAAAAACGAACTGTGTTTTCTTTTGCAACATGACCGCCATACACATCATTCACCCTTCGAGCCGTTTCCGCAGCACTAGTGCCACGGCGGAACTCGTACTCGTAAATAATGCGATGCTTTAAGTTTTCCATTTTGTAAAATGAGTGACGCAAACAGAAAAAAACAGGAGAAAAAAACAAATGAATGACGGTCATCGAAGCACAAATACATGAGTAAATAGCTGTACAAATTTGAATTTGGAATTCCTTACCAAAGAGGAGAACATCGTGATTAAAGTGGCCAGTACGAAATACGCCTATTTCATATGAAAGGACCTAATATAATAAAGGACGATAAACTCTACTGGATGTATCGCCTGTGTTGTCATTATTGGGTAATAATAATACATAAATCTAAATAAATAAGTGGAATGTTATCTACCTAATTACGATTGTGATTGGTTGACAACACTGTTCGAAATTTAAATGTGGATGATGCAAATGCATTGAAACTTTACCTGTGTAAAAATAATTCTGGTTTATAATTTCTCGGCCATAAATGAAATGAAATATGCTTGTTCGCAGGCGCAATTTATACTCGTTCTAATAACTATGTTTACAAATTATAAAATTTCACACTCGATTAACTCCATTTGAAAAGCGATGTTTTTGTATAAGTAAAATAAGTTTAAGGAATATTGGAAAAATTGGAAATATTGGAAAAATTGTTCATACTGTTTCATAATAATGCAAATGTTTTTATTACTAAGATTTTTGAAGTTATACTTCTTTTGGCGCGTTAGGGAAAAATGATGAGAGTAAATTTTTACGACGCGCGCGAACACCGTCACAAAAAACCGACACCCTCAACATTCGTCTTTTTGTGATATTTATATATCTTTATTTAACTAGATAATGAGTAAAACTTCTAATGTATTAAATACATTTTTTCTATTAATTGTTGCTTTTTCTTCAAACGTACAATAGATTTTTATCCTGTTACGCCAAAGAACACAGTTGACAGTGACATAAGTAAATCGCCAACATTGCTCTTCTAATTCTATTTAGTAGTGTTCTTTCGCTTTTATATACGCGTGTAGCACAGGTTAGTATATATAAATTATACGAATAAAAAGCTTGCGAGGTTCCGATTCAGTTTCAACGTTTTTCAACCAATCACAGCACACGTCGCGTGTTAGCTTGCAATTTACGAAAGCAATTTTCTCTTGCTTTTATGACTGGCAACTATCCGATCCATAGTTGATATAAAGCCAGACTGAAAAGGAACACCTATTGTCCAATTGTTTTAAATATGTATTTATGAATGAATGGATAGAGTCGATATAATTTGTGATTGTTTTATAATGTATTAAATAGGTACTTAAAGTTCTCAGTAGTAATATAACGTAAAACGTGTATACAATTTAAATAAAGCGTCTAACGAGTGATTACGAGAAATGCTTTATTTATAGGAGTATAAGCCTATTGTACAAATGATTCTAGCTTAGCTTATTCTGATGAAATAGTTCATTCTTATGGCCAATAAAGCGTCTGGCTACTGTTATAGCTAACTATACTAAGAGGTAG